TGAGCTAACGTGACTGGAGAAGGAGGAATTCTGGGAGTTGAAGTCCAAATTAGGCACCTGGCTCTCTGCTCATTTCCTATTCCTTCCTCCGTTCAGTGCTACAATGACCAGTCGGGGTTTAACAGCCCCAAAACCAAGAAAGGCGTTAAACAAGAATGCCGGAAATATGGATGGGGAAAAAAATGACTCACACAGCGACCGTGCCCTGGAACCTGGGCATTCCCGGCAAGGAGGAAACTGGGCTATAGGGATCCTGGTTGATCCCCAAGCAGCTTTACTTCTCCTCCATCTATCCATCTCTCTTCCCTGAAGCAGACACTGCGGAAATTCTAGCGTTGACGGACACTAGGCTATAATTCAATTCTATGCAGCCTATCATGGTATAAGGAGGGGAGGGCCGTGATGACTTGTGGACTTCAACTCCCAGAATTCCTTCAGCCAGTCATGCGGGCTCAGGCATTTTGGGAGTTGAAGTCCATAGGCCTTAAAGTGGCCAAGCGTGGACACCCCTGATCTAACCATCAGCATCATTAAGTCAATGTTGAATTACACTTTCTAAAAACACACTAAAAATGACCAGACTATGGTCAATTTGAAAGGAGAGGACTATTTTATCGATAGCTATAGAATAAATGTGAAAGTTAGAAACAGTAGTGAAATATATAAAATATGTTGATAGAATACATTAAGATGAGGATTGTTATAATAGATATATTATGCATATCAGTATTAAAGAGTACAGAATTAATATGAATGTAATGGATAAAACTATAAAATCTAATTGTTATTGCACATGATAGTTGAACCCAGACAATACACTGGCTAATGGAAGATGGTTTGTATTAAAAATAAAACTAAAAATTTTTTAAAAAATGGAAAGGAGACGGACTCTGTATTTGTAGGCGTGGTGCAGAAGTGTGTTGGCTAACCTTTTTGGGCTCCTGTGCCAAAAATTGTGTGCGCGCGTGCATGCCAGGATCCAGAAGGCAGTGTGCATCCCCCCGCGCCCTGTGCACACAATCCCTGCCCCACCCCCTTATGTGCACTGCGCCCCACAACTGATCTTTTGGCTGGTTTGAGGCCTTTTTTGGCCTCCTGGAAGCTTGAAAAAAGCCTTTGCAAGCAGAATAATAGGCCTGTTTAGTCAGGAAATGATGAAACAGGCCTATTATTCGTCCTGAAAAGCCTTGCAGAGGCTTTTTTTCAAGCCTGTGGGAGGCTGAAAAAGGCCTCAAACCAGCCAAAAAGTCAGCTGTGAGCCGCACACATGCGCAGTGAAGTAATTTTGCCTGCGGCTCCCATGCTGGCACAAATGGCTCTGCGTGCCACCGGTTCGCCATCATGTGTATAAAATATGTACCCAGAACATCTGGCTAGTTGTGCGATGAACTGGGCTCAGCAAAACTGTGGCTTGAAAACATGACAGCAGTCTTCCAATATTTGAGGAGGGGCTGCCCCAAAGAAGAGGGGCTCCACCTATTCTCCAAAGCACCAGAAGGCAAGAAACAATGGATGGAAACTAATCAAGGAGAGGAGTAATCTGGAATTAAGGAGAAACTTCCTAACAGTGAGGACAATTAACCCGTGGAACAGCTTGCCACCAGAAATTGTAGGTGCTCCATCACTGGAGGTTTTTAAGAAGGGATATGACAGCCCTTTGTCCACAATGGTATAAGGTCTCCTGCTAGAAGACCTCCGAGGTCCCTTTCAGCTCTAGCATGCTACGATTCTTCAGAGGCAAAATTCAGCTGCTTTCAAAAATCTGGTGACTTCTCAGCGCTAAAACATGATTTTATTTTTTGCTTTTTTTCCAGAGAGATTTTCCAGCTTCTCCATCTCTACAACTCTGTGGAGTTCCTTCGTATAGCTCGTCGTCTTACGACCATTTCTTTAACCACCATTTGAAGTTTACAGTGATGCTGAGGAAAGTTGCTTGTGACTGGTCCTCACACGTACAACCAGTCCCCACATTTGTGACCGGTCCCTGCACTTACAACCATCACAGAATCATCCCTGTGATCAAAATTCCTGCCCTTAGCAACTGGCATGCAGAAACTGAATTTGTTCAATGCCCCCAGAAAAAAAAGGTGGTTATTATCAGGTGTGACTCCGTCAATGACCGCATCGCTTAGTGACTGAGGTTCTAGCCCCAATTGTGGTCGTAAGTTGAGGATTACCCAGTCTCCCATCCCGGTTTTGCTTTTTTTAAAGGTCAGGCAGGATTAGTTAAGCGTGGCTGATAACTGGAACCCACTTGGTAAATATTAGTATCAAGAAATCTTTAAAAGAATATCACGGGAAAAAAACCCAAAATAAGTAAGGAATAATCTTATAAAAAAAAAGCTTTGTGTTGGCCCTTGGCTGTTGTGTAGCACCAGCGGGTACCTCTTTCGTAAACCGGAGGACCAAAAAAAGTGTACAAATAGAACACAGCACACTAAACCAGTGTTTTTCAATCTTAGCAACTTTTAATAGGCGTGGACTTCAACTCCCAGAATTCCCCAGCCAATGTGGAGTGGCAGTCCACCCTTCTTAAATCATGTTGGCTGGGGAATCCTGGGAGTTGAAGTCCACGCCTCTTAAAAGCTGCCAAGCTTGAAAAATTCTGCACTAAACTGAACTTCAGCCCTCATTTTTTTTCCAGGCAGTTGTGAGAACCTGCTAACTCCAAAGATTGCAAGATTTGGGTTGGACTAGATGACCTACAAGGTCCCTTACAACTCTGTTATTAATCTGTTAGAGATGTAATTCCTGGTTTGGTACATTGTTTAGAGCCAGGTACCAAGCTGAAGAAACCATGACAAAGTAAAGGTCAGTCAGATCCAACCTATCTCCTTCGTGTTAGTAGGTTGCTTTCACACAGCAGGCGACTCCATTATAATATCCAACATGGTTTACCTTAACCATGGCTTGTTTGAAAAGTGCTTAGAAACCACACCTGAAATCGTTTTTCCCAGAGTGAATAAAACTGCATTGCACCTACCAATGGCTGTACCACCCCCAAATATCAGTCTCCAACTCATTTAACTGGGAACTACAGTCCCTATTATCCCCAGCCAGTTCAGTGGAAAAGTAGTATGGGAACTGGAGTTCTATATATCTGTAGGTCTCCAAGGTAAGTGACTGAAACTAATTCTGTCTTTGACAAATAGATGCTATTTTAAACCAGACTACAAATTAACTTTTCCTAAATTGAGATTTTCCAAGGATAGTGGGAATACATCATGGGTTTTGTGTGTGTGTGTGTGTGTGTGTGTGTGTGTGTGTGTGTGTGTGTTTAATGTACGTTTTTTAAGAAAATTTCTGCAATGTGACGAATGCTTTTAGTTAGCAGAACAATTTGGGTAAAATGCAGGCGTTTTAAACAAGCAGAGTGATCAAGAATGTGAAACAGGCAGAGGCTGAAGTGTGCAAAACCACAAACTCCTAGGAGGTGTGTGAGGGATTTTGTTTTCCAAGATTCAGGTCGAAAGGATTTTGAAAACCGAAGGGGGGGGGGGAAGCACTCAAAATCTTCCCTGCTTTTTGGTATCTCCCCTCGCCATCCCACCCAATTCGGCACCAGCTGGAATTTCTGACCAAGCTTGTCAAATCAAACCCCAATCCAAGTTTCTAGCCCTCAACGTTCAGCGAGGGTTGCGGCCCACCAGTGGGTAGCAGAGCTGGCGGCAGAGTCAGACAGTGAGGAGGTTGGGGAGGAACCTGGGCCAGTCCTGGAGGCTGCAGACAAGGGCTCTGCGTCGGAGGCAGAGATGGGGCCAGGGTAGGCTGGCAGTAAGCAACTGCCTCCAGGCTCAGGCAGCAGTGAGGCCGAGGAGCTTCTGGAACTGGTTCCCAGCTTGCGCATACACACAGCTGCCAAAAGGAAGGCACAATTAAGAACCAGGGTCGACGTGGGAGTAAGGCCACAGGTGGACGGTGAATGGCCCCTCCCATAGGGATTAAAAGAGGAGCCAAAGGGGAGGGGGCTCTTGCAGGAAACAATCCGGTCGTTGCAGCAGTGTGAAGATCTGTCTGCATCTCGGAGACTCTGCGCTGAGCCCTTCCTTGTCAGCACTGCGTTTGGAAACATTTACTGGGTAGCTCTTCAGGCTAGATAAGGCCTGTGCTCCTCATCACACCCTTGAATGACTGTTTGTCAGGCTTTTGGCTGAAGGTGAATGCCAGAAATTCATCTTTGTTTAATAAAAGGGGGTCTGCCGGGACACGGAGTCGGCTTAGTGCTTTTGGGGGAAGCCGAGGTCAGAACAGCGAGCCCCAGCGGGGAAACTAAAGAAAAAAAACAAAACTGTTCCAGGAATCCAGGAGATAGGGAAGCATCTGCGGGGCTGGAAATGGATGCAGAATTGACAAAAGTGCTGGATTTCGGGGACGATGGGAACGAGGAAACATCCAAACGCAGAACTCTTGAATTCAGCTTTTAATGCAAGAGGGTAACGAGTGGGGGTGTTTTAACTGCCTCCCCCCCCCCCCCCTGGCCCGGGGATTATCTGGGATTTGTGGTCAGAAGCAAAATAATGGGCTGGCTCTCTTCCTCTTCCCCTCCCCTTTTGCCAATGGGGTGGTGGAAATGCAGCAAATCCCGCCCCCCCCTCCAAAATCTTGGGGTACACTCCAGACTGAAAGCTCCTCATAAACCAGCCATCCCTAAACAAGGACTCGCAGCTAATGAATAGCCCCGTTTCCATAATTCTCAGCAATGTTCATATCCATTGGGGGCCCCCTGGGAAACTAAGCTGGCTTCCCTGCTTCCCCCACCCCAGCAATTAAGCCATTAAGCCCACCAACTTCCGGCCAACCTGAAGATTCCCGATCCCATCGCTAAGAATTTCCCAGTGAAGGAGAGACGGTGAGCTTTGTGTCCCCTTTGAGGCTCCGTACTCTCTTGCAAACTCATCCCATTCGGGTCCGAGGGCCCACAGGTAACAGGATCAGCCCTGCAATGAACGGAGAGGTGGGGAAGGGTCCATTCTGCTTTGTCTCAGCGCTCGTTGCAAGTCCTCCCCCAATCTCCAGGGATTTAGAGCAGGGGGTCTCCAACCTTGGTAACTTTAAGACTTGTGGACTTCAACTCCCAGAGTTCCTCAGCCAGCTTTGCTGGCTGAGGAATTCTGGGAATTGAAGTCCACAAGTTCTAAAGTGGCCAAGGTTGCAGACCCCACCAATTTAGAGCATGTTCTTCAGCAAGAGTCTTTTCTCAACTTCAACCGGATTAAAAAGACGGGTGGACTCCCAACTCCCAGAATTTGGAAGTCCACCGATCTTCAAAGTTGGGAAACATTATTGCTCTTTGCTGTTTGCTTGAACCTTTTTGGCTTCTACCAAAACTACGTTCTGGATGCTGGTTTGTGGCCAAGGATGTTTACAGACACTCCGGACGCCGGGAGGAACCCTGCTTCGGCCAGACACCCATTTGGGACCCCCAAAAAGCGTGCAATGGCAACGAGAACACGAATCCCTCCTCCAGAAAAGGGTGGGGGGGGATAAAGAGTGGGAGTTCCGGCAGGGATGCGGTTGAGTGTGGACTTTTCGTGGGGAGGTGTGTGCTCTGCGGTGACCCAACTTTCCTCTTCGGCAATGGGTTCCAGGAATAAGTTTAGGCATAAAAGAGGATAAAAACCACCAATTCTCCCTGGAAAAAAAACATAGTCCTGCGTGTCTCGTCCTGGAACAGCCGTCCGGCTTGTGGAAAAATAATAATAATAATGCCTTGCCCAAGATTGGAGTCAGCCAACTCAACTTCCCATGTGGAATCCCAGGGTTATATTTTGGCTAAATTTTTTTTTAAAAAGGGAGCCCCCCCCCCCCCCCCCCCCGCAGCACCAGATTAAGATTACAGCCTTAAAACATTGTATTACGCTTCCTTCCAGGAGACAAACTCACACACGCATATATATGGAGACATATCTATCCAAGCGTAGATATATCAATCTATATATATATATATATATATCGGAACATACAGTATTGTACATTTGAGAAAGGCTGGGCGACTCGGCTTCGCGCAGAGCGGGGACATTCAAACTCAAGTCGCCTGTGGGCAACGCCCGGGGCAGCTCCCACCCAGAGCGCGCACACGTTGCGGTGCTCAGCTCGGCCGTCCGGAGGCGGTGGGTGTCATTCATGCCTGCGCTTGGAAGGCGGCACCAGGTGGGAAGGGAGTTCCGCTGGCAACTCGTGCCCTTCCAGCTTGACTTTGATGAGATGGTTGGCCAGGGCGAACTCCTCGTCGTCCAGCAGCCCGTCCTTGTCCACGTCGGCCAGCTTCCAGATCTTGCCCAGGACGGTGTTGGGCAGCTTGGACTTGACCATCTCTTTCTTGGCGCTGGCGCCCGTGATCTTGCCGTTGACGGGGGAGAGGGTGTAGAAGATCTCGTCGTAGGTGGGCTTGTCCTTGCTGACCACCCACTCCACGTCGTCGATGCCCTCGCCGGCACCCTCGCCGTAGCCGTGGCCGAAGGGCCCGTTCATGGTGCCCTCAAACGCCCCGCCCTTCACCACCTGGGACGGCATTTGCGACTCCTCCTGGCGCACCATCACCATCAGCCGGGCGATGTCGTTGGCTAGCATGTCGTCCACCGCGTCCAGCAGCTTCTGCTTAAGTGGCTGGAACTTGCTGAAGTCCTGGGTCAGGAGCTGTTCCTGAGGACACACAAACACACCAAGTTGTGATTCGGGGCCAAGAGACAACGGTGGGATGGGTTGACCGGCTGCAGAGGTCAACTCCAGGGTTTCTGAACCTCTACCCCCCCCCAAAAAAATCTCCAAGGGCCCAACTGGAAGGACATTGGAGCTGTAACTGCCCTTCACAAGAGTTTGGTGTGAAACGCGCTGAGCTTGTCGATCAGAAAGGTCGGCGGTTCGAATCCCTAGCACCGTGTCACGGAGTGAGCTCCCGCTCCTTGTCCCAGCTTCCGCCTACCTAGCAGTTCGAAAGCACGTAAAAAAAAATGCAAGTAGGAAAATAGGGACCCCTTTGGTGGGAAGGGAACAGCACTCCGTGCGCTTTCGAAGGCATTTAGTCCTTCCGGCCACATGACCACGGAGA